TCTTAGCAAAATGCATCTACATACTAAACCGATTCAGCTCACGTTGTGAAAAAAGGTAGCTGTTAGTACAGCAAAGTAGATGCTGGATGGCTTCTCATTCTTACCTGGTTATTACTAGCAAAGGCTGAAACTAAAGTGTTTGTAAGAGCTGTGGACATGCTCTCTTAGGGAACCATGAGATTATCTTCTTTCCAGACTGATACCTGCTTACATTGCTTAAATCCCAGTAAAGAAAAATCAGATGAGAAAGACAAGTCTACCTAAATCTTTTTAGACTTGACTTTTTACTGAAGATAAAAAGAATGTATGTAAATTCCATCTGACTTTATAAACAAAGTACTATGAACATTTTCAGTACTTAAAGGGGGCCTATAGGAAAGATGGGGAAAATCTTTTTAGTAGGGCCAGCTGTGACAAGACAAGGGGGAATGGTTTTAAACTAAAATTGGGTAGGTTTAGACTAGATCTAAGGAAGAAATTCTTTACAATGAGGGTGGTGAAACCCTGGAACGGGTTGCCCAGAGAGGTGGTGGAGGCCTCATCCCTGGAAACATTCAAGGCCAGGTTGGACGGGGCTCTGAGCAACCTGATCTGGTTAGCGGTGTCCCTGCTCACTGCAGGGGGGTTGGGCTAGATGACCTCTAGGGGTCCCTTCCAACCCAAAACATTCTGTGATTCTATGATTCTATGATTTTTCACCAGTCAGAATTAGCTGCATGCACTCACAGTAAATTCAAGCCTAAGTAAGTTAAACTGGTATTAGAATGACTTTAAAATTATTTTCATACCTCAGAAAAATCTAAAGAAAAATAGTACTCCAAGCCATTTACATGTTTGTTTCAATTTAATCATCTTTCCCCCTAGATCTGTGGATGGTCACAAGTGCATTGCCCAAGCAGCTTGCAAATACACTTTAAATAAGAACCTTGTCAGTAGATCTGCAGAAACTGGTTACCTGATAACCTAAGAAAGGGAATGCTCTTCCTCCAGGCTAACTCCCACCCCACCCTGCCCCAGTTTTCCCCCATCAAACTCTTTGGTCCTGTGATCCATGTGCATTCACAGACTTTACTGGAAGGTCCTGAGACTGCAATGGTAATGCCTACCTACTCAGCAGCATAAATAAATGTCAGAGGAGTGGGTTAAGAAACAGATGCTGAACTCTGTTTCAGGGTGGACCCTTACATGACAGTCGTATGAGTGTAGCATCTTTCTACATGAATATTCCTACTTATTCCCAGGGAACTACTTGGGCAGTCTCTCACTTTTCAGTGTGAGTAACAGTATGGGAATTTAGTGAATAGAGATGTTTAATGCAGGAGTACACAGGCTTTCCCCCCAGGTCCATTATTAGCCATCTACTTTATTTCTTCCAGAGCCAGTTAGAAGGAAACCGTTCGTTGTGTAAGACCGATTTTATTAACTCTAACATAGCTGTTGACAAACAAATGGAGATTAAATAATGCCTCTGCACTGTGCCTTAGGTCCCACATAGATCACAAATAGATTTAGAAGTTAAGGGGAAAAAGCTCCTTTAAAAAATCAAATATTATCCCAGCATTGTCTGCACACTACACGACTGACTGATTTAGCTTGAAATGACAGCCAGAAGACTCCTAATTTAACAGCTTAAGTAGGACTGGATTTGGGGCCACAAAATTCAGCAATCCCACTCATCTCTGGAGGAAACTGTAAAAACAAAAAAACTGATTTTTTTTTTAAATTGAATTAATATAAATGAATTTTTGGGTTTGTTTTCTAGCCACCACATGAAATCTGGGGAACTGGGGATAAGTTTTGTAAAACTTTACTAATGAGATAGCACCTCATTTCATCTATAGCACTACTTAAATCACCAAGTCAAATTTAAATACCCGTATTTCCTTGGTATGTGGGTAACATTCAATTCCATTTGTTTCAAGAGATGCATCAGACCAGTTTATTACACAGCACTTACTGAAAAGTACTTCAGAACTAACATTTCATAAGAGACAGGTATATACAGCTTGTAAGATGAGAAAACTATATACAGAAAGAGCAAGTGAACAGTTTTGGCATGTTTTTTAAAAAAAACCGTGCATTTATGCTCAAGTCTGATAGAAAAGACACCCTCCCCCCTTTCATTACTTGTAGAAAGCATTTTATGCTTAAGCAACAGCATATTACATTGTATCTGTGTAAACATAAGCACTAAGATTTTGATACTTTGGAGTTTTACAGAAACGCTGGTTAAAATGTGGACCAGATGAACTACCAGAAAAAGAAAGGGAAGTGACATAAAATTTTTCAAGGCTGTCAAGTAGTAAAAGTTTTTACCGCAGGATAAATGTCACTGAGAACGTAATTAAGTATCCTAAGAAAAGGTTCTGAATCAATCTTCTGAAACGCAAACTTAAAAAACAACCATCAACACAACCTCAGATAGGTGATATGGAGTTAAAGTAGCAATTATAGTTTGTGATGTGCATGCAGATACAAGCCAATTAATTACTTTAGGTCTTAGTATCTTGACTGTAGCAGACATTTGAATTTAATAAAGCAATTGAGTTGCTAGGCAAGTCAGATGATAGTTATCTTCGGTACTTACAGTCCTTAAATACCAGGGCAGGGTCTCTGTGAAGAAGAACTTGGGCAATTACAAGTTGCAAAGACTCCAAAGTTCTACCCATCTCTGGCCTGCTTTTCCAGAAAGCATCCACAAACTGTCCTCATACTTGAATTAGTCGAGTCCTGTATTGAATTTTTGCAGTTCATTGGTGAACTGGATTCCTAAAGAACCTCCCCACATCTGCCAGACACTGCCTCTAACTCCAAGATCCTGGATTGCTTATCTTTGCTGTATGATGAGCTAATGAACTGAAAAGGCAGATGGACAGCCTTGTTCCTATTGCTTCTTTTTCTTACACACACCCACCTACAGGCTAGAGAGAAAGAGTGAAAGAGTTGTTTCATCAGGATATTGATGATGTGCTGAAGCAAAGATCATTTCGGTTTCTGCCGAATAAACAGAGACTCTCAAATTCTAGGGAGAGACTGAAAATACAAGGGAAGAAGACGTGAAGTTGTTCCAAACTCATCACCATGAAAGTAGCATGTGGACTCTTGTTCAAAAAGTGAATTAACTATAAAGTATGCTTTTCTTTCTCTTTCAATTATGTAACAGGAACACAACTTCTATATTAGTGGCAAGTGGAAAATTAAAAAGAAAGCAAAATTAAACTTGTGATGTATTAGGTTAACCCAATTTGAAATCTATTTTCCTGGAATGTAGTTTCCAAATCCATGTACAGTAAGTGTACTAAAATGCCAGTGAATTAAACTATTTACATATAAGAGCACAGGACCTGTGGGCTGTTCAGGGGTCTGAAGAGGCACTCCAATCAAAAGACAGACACAGACATGCTGGCAAATGTACTGCTGTTACACAGGTGTAATTTTTCCTTCGGACAGGAGGGCTGTTTGTAGCAGGCATAAGCTACGTCAGCTAGTTACTTTGCTGGTACAGAATACTTTTACATCAGTTCCAGTAGTCTTCTTGACTTGGAAAATAATTCAAAAGTAAATATGTGTTCCTTAGTTACTGCACAGTATTTTCTTCCACGTTCCCAATTTTTTAGGATTCAGCAGCGGAAAATTGCTACACAACCTTGTACCTGTATAATTTAAAAGTTTTAACAAATACTGTTGCATATATCGAGTTGTCCTGGTTTCGGCTGGGACAGAGTTAATTTTCTTCATAGTAGCTGGCATAGTGCTGTGTTTTGGATTTAGTACCAGAAGAATGTTGATAACACACTGATGTTTTAGTTGTTGCCAAGTAGTGCTCAGACTACTCAAGAACTTTTTCAGCTTCCCATGCTCTGCCAGGTGCATGGGAAGCTGGGAGGGGGCACAGCCAGGACAGCTGACCCAAACTGACCAAAGGGCTATTCCATACCATATGACATCATGCTCAGTATATAAACTGGGTGAAGAAGGAGGAAGGGGGGAACGTTTGGAGTGATGGCGTTTGTCTTCCCAAGTAACCGTTATGCGTGATGGAGCCCTGCTTTCCTGGAGATGGCCGAACACCTGCCTGCTGATGGGAAGCAGTGAATGAATTCCTTGGTTTGCTTTGCTTGCACGCATGCACGGCTTTTGCTTTCCCTATCAAACTGTCTTTATCTCAACCCATGAGTTTTCTCACTTTTATACTTCTGATTCTCTCCTCCATCCCACTGCGGGGGGAGTGAGTGAGCGGCTGCGTGGTGCTTAGTTGCCATCCCAAGTTAAACCACGAAACAATCAATCATACAATCACAGAATTGTTTAGGTTGGAAAAGACCTTTAAGATCATCAAGTCCAACCGTTAACCTAACCCTGCCATCCCACCACTACTCCATGTCCCTAAGCACCCCATCTACCCACCTTTTAATACACCTCCAGGGATGCTGACTCGACCACTTCCCTGGGCAGTCTGTTCCAATGCTTAACAAACCTCTTCGTGAAAAAATTTTTCCTGATGTGCTATTTAAACCTCCCATGGAGCAACTTGAGGCCATTTCCTCTTGTCCTATCACCCGTTACCTGGGAGAAGAGACCAACCCCCACCTCACTACAGCCTCCTGTCAGGCAGTTGTAGAGGGCGATCAGGTCTCCCCTCAGCCTCCTCTTCTCCAGGCTAAACAACCCCAGTTCCCGCAGCCACTCCTCATAACACTTGCGCTCCAGCCCCCTCACAAGCTTTGTTGCCCTTCTCTGGACACGTTCCAGCAACGCAACGTCTTTCCTGTAGTGAGGGGCCCAAAACTGAACACAGGATTCAAGGTGCAGCCTCACCAATGACAAGTACAGGGGAATGGTGACTCCCCTACTCCTGCTGGCCACACTATTCCCAATACAAGCCAGGATGCCATGGGCTCTCTTGGCCACCTGGGCACACTACTGGCTCATATTCAGTTGGCTGTTAATCAATACTCCCAGGTCCTTTTCTGTCAAGCAGCTTTCCAGCCACTCTTCCCTGGGCCTGTAGCATTGCATGGGGTTGTTGTGACCCAAGTGCAGGACATGGCACTTGGCCTTGTTGAACCTCATACCATTGGCCTCAGCCCGTCGATCCAGCATAGCACTATTGTCTTACTTTCTTCATTTTCCTAACTTAATTCTAAATACTTTGTTTCATATTGTTGACATTCAAGTGAGTGAGTACTCTGAAGTCCCTTTGATGTGTAAATTTCATTGTGACCCTTGATGACTTTCATATTTCAGGAATTCTGCTGCTTTGGAAAAAAACAGGTTTAATGAAGATATATTAAGCTGTAACTTCGAGGATTAGTTCATCCCTCACTAACTCCATACTCAGAAAAGTCTCATCTGGCAGAGTAAATGAAACTTGTATCTTACAGCCATCCATTAGAATACCTTTAAAATAGTTAATGGATGTTTTAAAGGAACCTTCTGAAAATAAATAGCAAAGATTTCCATCATCCTTTCTTCTCTCATGGTGCTTAATCAAACAGACAGCCTTTGTATATTTTTGGAACCAATTACCAAGACAGACTTAAAGTTGCACACCAGTAAGAACTCATTCCCTTTGAGAAGTCCTAAATTAGAAGCCAAAAAATGCATGCACATTTTAGCCAAAGAACGGTAACTGAGATCTTGTCACTTGAACCAGTCTCTTAACAGAGAAAAGCCTAGAAACATAAAAAAAAATTTTTCCCCTTAATGTTTAAAATGGAAATGCAATTAAATTCACTTTTCTACTCCTGCTAAAATCAGCTCTAGCTGTATCAGGAAACAGGCCTACATACCTTCATTGCAATCACTTATGTGTTAAGATTTAATCAGACTTCCTCACTTCTGTCAAAATACTTTCATGCAGCTGTGATGCTATGTGGAACACTTTGTGATGCTACAAGCAACACTTACCTACTGCATCTATTTTATTTAAGACCATGCACAGCTGCTGGCTGAGACTAGTTTTTACATTGTTCCAGAGAGAAGACAAGAACTTTGAGAGCAAGAGAGTGCTGCAAGGCAGAACAGAGGCCGCGATTCTTCCACAGGCTAAAACCTGAATAACGTACTCAGGCATATCAGGTACATAGGGCAAAGAACAGATAGTATCAGACATGCAAGCAAAAAAACACAGGTCAAAGCCCAAGTCCCTAATTTCTTTTACTAAGGCAAGTAAAAGATTTAAGATTTTCCAAATTACAGATTGGTAATTTAGATTCTAACAAGTTGTCCTTCCCAAGAAGGGCTCCACCTCACATCTTAAGCACAGATACAGTGGGTAGAAGGTTAAAAAAAAAAGAAAAGTTTAAACTGCTCTGTCTTGCTTCAGTTTTCATAAATGCTTCTCTCCTTATTATGTGTTCATAAACACAATTTCATTACTAGAAATATCTTGCTTAAATTAAAAATAAAAATTAAGATACTTGTCCTTCTTCTAGGTCTTCAGACCCCAAACATATAACACAGTAAAAGTCATGGTAGTATTACTGAAAAGAGAACTTTCAGAATCCTCATCACTTTATGTAAGTTAATAGATATTAAAAAATTGCATTTATTGGTAACTGTGCAGGCACATTAAAAACTTGTGTGCTTGACAAGGCTGTACAACATTTATGTATTCTTCTGGGCAAGATTTACATGCAAGATTTTGGAGTGAAGGAAAAAGTAAGAATTGCTGGCTTCAAAGAATGCATATTCATCATATGGATTGCTCATGTTCGTACAGGTACAAAAGAATTCTTAGAGTACTAACTGCTATCAAGTTCGTATTTGTGATTTTTAATGAAATCAAAAAAGTACCCGTTTATAACATAGCGCAGCATTTTAAATTTAAATTTCATGTCATTGCAAAAATTGGTTTTAAAAATTCCTTTCCTTTCCTCTTAAGAGGAATCCTCTGCACAACAGAAGATACTTAATCTAAACAAACACAGTAGAATAGATTTACCAGATATTATTGGAAATTACTATAGATAAATGATCTTAGTCAGTACTACTGATTTAATTACAGTCAACGGTTTTAACCAGAAACAAAAACCAAAATCCCCCAATCAAGATCACAGAACCAGAATGAGGTTTATCAATTTCCAGAAAAACATTTGGTTGTATAGAAGAGATTGCTCTGTTATGTCTCTCAACTGTATACATTATGGGTTTTCTCATATTCTATGGGAGCTTTAATAAATTATCCCCAGAAACTAGCTGCATCCAAGCTTGACTTAATGTTGTGCATATTTTCTCGATACTGTTTCGTATAAATATTTGCCTCTCCTTTTTGCAGCCGTTGCCTCAGAGCAGACTTTTGAGATTTGGTCAGTTGACGTTTTACCTTCTGTTTCACCAGTTCCTACAAATAAACAAACAATTCAGTACCAGAACTTTTTGAAGATCATATAGTACTAAGACATTGCACAACAGCAGTGTATTTTCAGTACCAACATGGAAGAACGTAAGACCTCTGTACATCAAGAAGTTAGTGATCTGCACAACAGTTAACACGAGTAAGCCCAGGTCTGTGCTGTTTTGCACTAAGCTGCATGTACAGGGTTGTCTTCATGCCTGTGTTGTGCTGCACAAATCCGCTGGCAGCTCCTGCATAGCAGTGACAATTAGGCCTCCTTTGTGGCCCTGCCTTTATCTAAAAGTGCAGCAAGAAATTCTCATGTGAACATGAGTTCACCCTGACTGTAAAAATTATGAACAGAGTTGTTTCCTACTTTTTTAGCACCTTGTTTTTTCTAAAGTTTGGATTACAAAGATCTGAGTATGATTCTAATGGAAAATAACAACTCTTTACAAGTGTGGCTAAAAAAGAGGGGCAGTCAGGAGTGATTTACAATTCCTCCTCCATTTTTCCCCTCTTGTGAGGCACTCTCCTTCTCATCTGTTATTTACACCTGTGTATTCTGAGTTCTGCTCTCCATTATGATGTCAATAGCTAATCATAATAAAAACTAAGCCATGATTTAGCAGACTGTGGCAGCAATTTTGTCATTTGGAAAATGATCCCAGCTCAAGCTGCTGCACTGACATTGAGTGCATACTTGCATATCTTGTCTTGGAAGAAAAAGAAAAATCAAATTATTTTCATCTTTCTAACATGTAATAATAATGGAATCATACTTTGTTGGAAATACCACAGGAGTGTCTTATTATTATTCCAATTAATAAAGCATTAAAAAATATAATATCAAGGAGTAAGTCTGCCCTTAATAGAAGATCTGCTGCTGTCCAAATAACTGGAAAAAAATAAAAATATCCATCTAACTACATTTCCTTTAAACATACCCCAATTTCAGTTGCCTTGTTGTGCTTTGATTGTACTATCAACTCGGTCTCACTGTAGCATATGAAGTAGTAAGTTGGTAGAGAGTAAATCAGGAACCAGAAAGCACAATTTTGGCAAGTTATGCTCTTTAAGAATTGCTGTGATTAATACAACTAAAGTAACAAAATACAAGGTAGTCAATGCATCCAGTTACTCAATCCTGATTTCACCAGGAACGCTGTAATAATTAGGGAGCCACCTGAACAGCAGTTTCCTAAGTTATGCTGCATCCAGTCTGAGTGCTGAAATGTGGATAAAAACCAGTTACATGTGATGTATCCTTCCTTCCTTGGGTAGGACTCAGTATTTAACCATGAGCTTTTTGGAAATAAAAACAAGATTCTCTTTAAAAATATTCCTGAAGAAAAAATGATCAGAACTAACAAAAACTGTTGCACTGATGTTTTCCTTTTGCCAACAAAGCATCTGTCATTCTGTGTTTTCTATAAGCAGAACACTGAAAAGAGGGCTTCTCTACTTCTGGTCCAGGACAGATGACTTCCTTCACAGTTTATACAAAACCTGCTACAAGAAATTTTGCAAGATGGATACCAGAAGTCTTTGAAATGTAATCATAATATAAATTCACCACGTCCTATTGTCCAACCACAGCACATGGTGGAGAGACTCACTAGTCTTTCATCATTGTAACCTAAATGTAAGCAAATACTGAGAAATGCTTCAGAGTCAACAAATTTTTGATCATTCACATTATTTCCTCTAATTAAATTACATCAGTGCATATAAAGATTTGTGCAAGCACAGAAAGATACCTTACTTCATGTGGAATAGCTCATTTTTCAAAATTCATGATGCTTTCTCTTTTTGGCAGTCTCCAAGTTATGACTACACCTACTGCTATTACTGACATTGTTTATATATGCCTATATGAATTTGTATGATTAATTTTAAAAACTGCTTATGTTTTCATAGGTCTTCTCCACTGAACAGAAAGCAAGCTGCATGAACAATAGATAAATGCTAGCAGCAGTAATACACATCAGCTGTAAGCAGCCCAGAGGACCTTTTGTAAATATTTTTTTTGTGTTCCAGATAGCTCATTATACATACAGTTTCTTTAGCTCTAACACTCAAAATAAGATTCATCAATGGGCAGAAACGTTATTTTTACTCAGCATAAAAACATGTAAGCGAAAACATTATACAAGGTAAATTGGTGCAGGGAAAAGCTTTTTATGTTGAAAGCTTTTCTGCTGAAGTGCTTTTATCTTTCATTTAGAGCAAAAAATTAGATACTTTTAACATGTTTTATGTGTCTGCCTACAGAATAAACATACATCCACTCAATACTTGAGAAGGTTCCTATAGCTATGTAACGACCACTACTACAGCCAAGTGGTGTACAGGAGTACAGTTTCAAGTAATTTCCTTTACTTAGTAGCTAAGTCCTTAGGACTTGGTAGCACTAATTTTTTTTTTTTTTTTTTTTTTAAATTCTGCCCTCTTAAAATAGCAAACCCAAAACAAAAAAAAAAGAAAAAAACAAAGAAAGAAAAAAAAAAAAGATTGCATGGACCAGAAGCTAGGGAATTCCTGGCAGGTCATCCTGGCTTTTGTTTACTTCCTCTCATAGTTTTAACCTAATCCTTCGTCTCCTTAAGAAGATACAATACCATCCCCTGGAATAAGAACTGTGATGATGAAGATCAAAGTTGTTTTTTTTCCTTGCATGAAGTCCTGTAAAAAATGTCTTAGGCAAGATGCAAACATGCTGTTCCTTAACAACTATTTACACATGTAACTTTACTGGTTACTAGTGTACCTTAAAATATTTAACTTAAAGAAAAAATCCAAACATGAAAGAGTATAAAGCAGCCAACTATTCTATGAATATTATAGCCACCTTGTGTAAATCAAGGCCACTTTGCAGAATAACACATCACTTAATAGGACAGCAGCAAAGCCTTTGTTAGAAAGGTACTGAAGCAGCAAGGAGCAGACTGAAGAGACTGTAAATGAGGAAGATCAAATCTAACAAAAAAAAAAAAAAAAAAAAAAAAAAATCAGTCTTGCCAGCACTAGAGGTTTCAGATATAGTGTTTCTAGGACTAATGCTCTAATTAGGCAACAGAAATGCTTTGAAAAGACACAACTTGAAAAATTACATATTTACTTTTGGTACATGTTGTGAAAGAGCTGAAACTACACTAACATGTTCCCCAAACTAGATTTTTCAGAGCTTCTGCTGCTAACTGCAAATGAGACTGAACATGGGAACCCATATTTACAATGGCAAGCGTGTAGTCTGACTCAATTGAAAAAATACCTCATGGATCAGCTGTCAGCCTAAAGAAATTTCTTCCTGTTTTGTAGAAGAATACTTTATAATTAATAAAGAACACTGGACTTTCTTCCCTTTAAAATTAAAATGCACTTTCAAAACCGTGAAAGAGGTAGCCATACTGACTGGTGTATAGTCTGGGGTTGAAGAGAAAGATGTTAAATTCTGCTGTAAAATGTTCTGGTTTACATAATGCAGAAAGTCAAACACATTCCTATTGCCAAAGAAATCACTACTGAAGCGAATTCATATGAATGCTTCACAGAAGAGTGAAGAAATCTCTAGGAAGCCAGGTGAAAAAGGCCAAATTATATCTTGACTCAAGCATCTACTTTTAGAATAAAAAAATATTAATTGTGGCTAGCAACAGAAATGAATGTACTGATTATATGTTAATGCATTGACACACACTAGCCTGTTATTGGCTAAGTAAGAGTTGTTAATGCTGATGTAGAGCTTTGGTGAAAGAGATGGACATCATTCCCTGGTAAACAATTACAAAATATCAGTCCTATTTTTCTGTGGGCATGGAAACTCAAACCAGTGAGGGATCAGCCTTTTTAAAAGATAATTAATGCTAAGTAACATAATTTTTACAAATATGTACTAACAGCTATGTGCAATTTAACATGATATGAGAGTAAACTAGATAACAACATAGTAACAGTAATATTTACCGCTGGAATGGTTGAACAGCTCCCAACACTTCTGGCTGATGTGGTACTTGTAGTCCTTGTTCTGTGCTCAGCAATATGAACGACGCTCTCTTCGTTTCTGAAATACACAAATCATTGTTTTATTCCACTAGCAAGACAAACATCCTTTGCCTCTATGAGCATCGTGTTTTAGTCTTAACTTTTTGAGATATAACCTAAAAAATCCCAAGAGAACATGCAAGCACTACAGAACATCTAAATTTCAAATATTAACACTAGTTGTTCAAAACAGGCATTTTATGAAAGGAAGAATTTGTTGCACAATAGCCACATGTATACCAAGCACATGAAAAGTTTCAGAGCACTTAAAAAATGTTTCAGATCCTGCACAATGTCTTGACAAGTCATTTCACTAAAAAGCAACAGCAGATCATGGGGTGTATGAGCTTGGTATATGCATCCAGGTACATGGCTAGCAAACTCAGTATTTCATGTGCAAGGGGCTAGCCTGAAGGTCAGCAGAAATTTCTATGTCAGAAAAGGAATTAGAACAACACACAGTACAATATATTTGAATAATACATTCCAAGGAGCTTGTTCTTGCTAACTTCACCTGACTGAGCAGCAGAATAATTTGAGAATAATTGGAATAATTTGTCTTTGAGACAGAGCATTCAAATTATGAACTTATTCATAAATTATTCAGAAAAAATATTTTAATGTCAAGAACTCTTTCACTACCAATATTAACTGAAATAAAGAAAAAGGGAAAAAAAATCGACCATAGAAAACAGGGTCTGCGAATTAAATCCAAGACTTGCTCCCTCATTAGATACTACTACACAGCTGACAACTGATCTGTCACACATTACATATGAAACATTACGTGTGCAGTACCAATCAACAAGTTACCTATCATGAGACCAATAGGAAAGATATTCACTGCAATGTTTTAAAAATAAATTTGATTTTTAGTCTTCAATTTAAACCAGGGTAACTAAAGAGTAATCCTTTTTGAGCTGCTTGAAAGATTTACATTTATTAGGGGGAAGGGAGGAACCATATTCCTAGACAGAAAATATGAGTCTTTACCTGTAATGTCTAAATTTCTCATTTGAAGTTGACAAGTCAACCAGATCAGGGCATTTGTCACCATCCTCCTTATCATTACAACACACTCCTTGACTCGTCTGATTTTCGACTTCAGCAGCATTTTCAGTTCCACTTCTGCCCTCAGAAAAAGCAATTGCAGAATTCTCTGCATCTTCACCAGACTTCCAAAGCATAGCTTGCCCTTCAACTTTTTCTAAGGCTGAACTCAACTTTGACATATTCAGCCTTTGTGTATTTTCACTACTTTCAGTTGTATCAGCCTCTTCTTTGTTATACATAAAGTCATCAGAAGTTCTGCTTTCAGAGAAATCAGCCACTTCATCCATGAAGTCTGCATTGTCTTCTTCATCCGTGCTGAAGAAGTTTATCTTATTCTCAGCATCTTCTACAAATTCTGATACCTCTGTTGTATTATTATCCTCATCAGAACCTGGTGGGTAAAGCAGATCACCATCTTCCTGCATTTCTTTTGTATAGCCACTGGCAGCAATCTCTCTATCGAGAGAACACTCTCTCCTGTGAAAGAAGTAAAAGTATGTTTTCTTCTAATACGCTAAACCGTCGAGCTACTAATATGCTATGTTTCAGAATAAAAATACCAATCAAGCTAGTCTATAATTACTCATACGATTAACAAAGAGGATACACTCTGTTGAAACACATAGAACACCACACTATAGTGCTTAGCTTTTGGTAAAGTATTAATACAATGTGACCTGGGAGAAGGAAACTTCTACATAAGGTGATTCCATCTCCATAGCCAGCATTTATTTATTTATAGGAAATTGTTTTATTTTAGTATGAATATAAGTTCGCTTCAAGTTCAAATTATGTTTAAGAAAACAGAAGAATAAAGGATATGCTGACACACAGAGACTGATTCAAGTGTGGTACCCCTTTGGAAAAGCACTCAGAATGAAATAAAACCCTTCTCATTGCTTCAGTCTTAAAATAAATGAAAAATTACTTTACTTTTCAAAAGGGACAAGAGACATTAGGAAGAAAACTTTGAACATAGTAATGTTTGCAGAAGCAGTCACCGTGTTTACTAGCATTTTAAAAATAAATTTAAAATTGAAACCCAAATTAATCCTCAATGTACTAGAACTGTTAAATAGGCTTTGAGAAATGAGAGAAACTGATTCTGCATCACTGTTAACATTTCCTAGATATTTACCATTTGGATCAAGCTTCTGAATTGATCTCTCTTCCCTAGCTGCAAGAGGAAAGGCAAAGGAGGCAGCAGCAGATTTTAAAGCACATGTCCACTTTTGGAAAGCAGTTCAATAACTTTGGTTGAAGAAAACAGTAAGAATGACAAAAATGTAATTTAAAATTCCATAGTTGGGCTTTTTGTTTTCTTTTTCTTACAAGCATCTCTCACAGGCACCCATTTTTCTCACAAAGCCAACACAAATACCATAAATAAGAGAATTCAAGTTCATCTGGCAATTTCTACCTGATGTCTTTGAATGCTGGGAAGAGCTCACTCTCGTAGTTGAAGCGTTTCTTAAAGAACTCCTTAATACAGTTAACATCTCTGTCAAAGTACCTGTAAAAAATACAGAATTGTACAAATACAAAATCAAAGTAATGAAGTCTAGTGCAGTGACAAACATTCACCCTACATTTCTTGTCTTTTACTGATTTTATTTGAAAATTACTTCTGTTAGTGATCGCAAGACAAAAGGCTGGGGAGACAAACTACATACAAACTACGAACAACATAATTCTCTCTGAGAATCAACTGATTATGTATTTATCCTAAAGAGACATTTCTACTCATTCATAAATCGAACTACATTTGGAATGTTATTTGTGCTGCGTGACAATGGCAGAGAAAGAATCAGAAAGAGGCTTATAGAAACAAGTCGTGGTTCGCTATTTGCTGTCATCAGCACTTGTCAGACTTCCTTTGAAAACATCTTCAAATTTGAACCTACCATTCAGCATTTGGATGTGATGTTGATATCATCTGAGGGAAATCAATCATAGTGACATGGTCATCATTATCCAATATGAGATTAAATTCATTGAAATCCCCATGAATCAAACCATGATTGGCAAGATTTACGATTAGATCCATTAATTCACTGTAGACAGCGGCAGGATCTTCCATGTGGTGCACCTGGCACCTGAAAAGTTAAATAAAATATTCTGAACATTGAAAGACTTTATTTAAAATACAGACAAAGTTATGAAGTATATGAAATACATCTGACAGAATAACAGGGTGACTCAAGCTAAAAGGGCCCTCAGGTCTCCAGTCTAATACCCTCCTCAAAGCCGAGTCAACTCTGAGATCAGACCAGATTGCTCAGTGCTTTGTCTAGTTGAGGCTTGAAAAATTCCAGGGATGGAGAGAGACTGCGCAACCTCCCCAAACACCCTGTATCACCGCCTCACTGCCCTCAATGGGAGAAAATTTCTCCTTATATCCCAGCTAAATGTCATTTCAACTGACGCTCATTGTCTCCCATCAGGGACCATTGTCATAATGCATTATTTGATTAATGGATCCATAAATTTTTAAGTGTCTCCTGTTTTAGGTAATTTTATGGTCTCAGTAGGAACTAGGTCTTCCTGTATTCAAACTAAAATGCCCCATGACATTTTCTTTTACAAGCATGTATTTTCTACACTAAGTTAGGGGGGGGAAAAAAGAAGAAAAAAGCTTAAAAGCATTTCTGAATGTATACCTGAGAAAGTGAAGTACCTGAAGTGGCAAAACACAAATCTACTTCTCTTTAGAAAGAAACCAAGTAAAAAGGCAGTTATCTTATTGTACCATGAACTCTCAAGAAGCGGTCAGCGTTTACAGTTAGCCTGTGAAGTATTTTGGTCCAAATGCAGCACTATAGTATTATGAGAAAAGATCGATTGTACAATGAAAAGTATGAACAACAGAAGCCTAGCAGCTGTGTAACAGGTTCCTGTTGAACACTTGTACCAAAATTAAATTGGTAACATTTCTCATAAGCACAGGTCTGTATCATAAAATATTCCATTTGCTCTTTGAATTTGGAAGTCATGTTAACTGGTGTCTTCTGAGATAAGAATCTCAGCTCCCGGGAACCAGGGGGAAGGGCTGGAGCAAAGATGTACCCTCGGTGGAAGAGCATCAGTTCAGGGAATACTAATGCAAACTGGACAAACATTAAGTCCATGGACTCTGACGGGATGTACCCCTAAGTGCTGAGGAAGCTTGGACAGTGCCATTCCAAGGACAGTCTTTATAATTACTGATCAATAATGGTGACTGGGAGAACTACCTGGAGACTGGTCACTCCCATCTTCAAGGACAAGAAGGAGGACCCAGAGAACTACAGGCTGGTAAACATCACCTTGAGCCCTGGGGAAGGTGACGGGAGCTGGTAATCCTGGAAACCACTGTTAGGTACATTAGGGACAAGAAAATCATCAACAGTAGTCAACTTCACCATGGGGAAGTCATGCTTGACCAACTTGACAACCTGTGATGAAGTGACTGGCCTGCTAGATGGGAGGACAGCAGTGGATATTGTCTACCTGGACTTCAGTAAGGCTTTCACGCTGTCTCCAATGGGATCCTCATAGAGGTGTTGAGGTACAGTCTCAAGGAGCAGACAGTGAGGTAGATTGAAAACTGCCCGAATGGCTGGGCACAAAGTCTAGCTGGAGGTCAGTGGCTAGCAGCATACCCCACCAGTCAAAAAGTAGTTCCAGCCCTGTTTAACACCTTCATTATGAGCTAGATGGGGCAGAGTTTGCAGACAACACCAAACTGGGAGTGGCTGATATGCCAGAGGGCATGCTGTCACCCAGAGGGACATCAACAGGCTGGAGAAATGGGCCAGCATGAACTTCATGAAGTTCAATGAGCAGTGAAAAGTCCTGCACCTGGCAGGGAACAACTTCATGCCCCAGTACACGCTGGGTGTCACCCAGGCGGGAAGTAACTTGGCAGAAAAGGACCTGGGGTCCTGATGGACACAAAGTTGAATGACAGCCAGCAATGTGTCCATGCAGCAAAGGGTCACAAGGATGATTAGTGGATTGGAGCATCTCTCCTACGCGAAAAGGCTGAGAACTGGGACTGATGAAAAGGCGGCTCAGGGAGATCGCATCAATGTGTATAAATACATGAAGGGAGGGTGCAAAGAGGAGGGAGCTAGGCTCTTTTCAGTGATGCCCAGTGACAGGACAAAAGCCAGTGGGCACAAACTGAAACACAGGAGGGTCTGTCTGAACATAGGAGACACTTTTTCACCTGCGAGGGTGACTGAGCACTGGCACGGGTTGCCCAAAGAAGTTGTGGAGTCTCTCTCCTTAGAGATATTCAAAGATCACTTGGTCATGGTCCTGGACCAGATCTGGGTGGCCACGCTCAAGCAGGGAGGTTGGCCCAGGTGACCTCCGGAGATCCCTTCCAACCTCAACCGTTCTGTGATTCTGTGAGATGTGAAATAAAGTACATAGACTAGGAAGAACTAAGTCCAATTTGGCAGGAACTTTGGATAACCCTGTATTTGTTAAAGACAGCATAACAATTGTTTACCATAAGTCACCAACTCCACACTAGTTTTTCAACTCAGGCAATGGACAATAGAAAAACTGGCAACAGGCTCTAGATGGCCCTGCCTGAGCAAGGCGTTTGGACCAGATGACTCCCAGAGGTCCCTTCCAACCTCAACTATTTGAAGACTCTTTGATCTTGGCATATTTGAAATAATCATCATCCACTGTTTATCTCCTTCAGTTTAGAATCACAAAAAGAGAGCATGGTAAACTTCCACAGCAGATGTCCACATGGAACTTGGAAGTGCTCCATGTACATGATGGATTTGGAATTATTGAACAAATGAAGGTGGGGAGACAGAATATAATGAAGTCTCTTCCATGTTAATCATCAGCTGTTATACTTCGGGAATAATTTCCTTTTGCTTAAACTGCCCACTTCGGATCTTGATTACTATACAAGAGCATAGACTGGTTTATTCTGAAACTAGACACTTTAAATCTCTGGGTAAGCACCTAGGTTAATCTGCATTATATCAAGTAGAGAGGCTTTTTCCATTCTGCTCTGCAAACAAAACAAATCATCTCTTCATGTACAAACTTCAGTGATATTTAATGTTTCTAGATGTTGAACAACTGAAGCAAAGTAATCTTCCTTAAAGAAGCAAAACCAGATCATATGTGATATTCTATGTAAACAGAGCATCTAAACAGTGAGTTATAATTGCACCTGAATTACTAAAGCAAGGATCGCAAACAGGAGCTCAGAACGTGAAGGATATAATATTCAATATTGTATATATCCAATAACATAGAAAACAGTTGCAACACTAACCTGTGTCACACTGCTCTTTTGATGTATTCCTTACTTTAACATTTAGTCTGTTTCACTAGTTTCTTTTGACTAAGACAAAAACAATTTCTCGGAATAAAGAAGTAAGAGAAGCAAGACTATAACCAAGCACAACGTTAGTGAGTGTGGGCTGTTCGGCATGGTGAAGTCAGAAACACTCTCCTGACAAGGAAAAACCCTAACCCTGTCACCTTACTGAACCCTAGGGTTTCCGTAACACAGAGAATTCAAGCTTCAAAAGTACTTACAAAGGATAGCCATCAATAAGTTCCATAACAACTGCGTGCCTGTTGTAGTCTACAGGTTTTGGAACAGGAAATTTTCTGTCATGCAAAGCCTGGAAAGAAACAACACAATGAAAATTGAAATGAAATAGTTAAGAAAACATTACATATATTGACAAACTCCCATCCAAGATAAGCAATACTACTGGAGAAGCAGCATACACTACTCAAATGCTAACTGGAAACATCAAAACACATGCTTAAGAAGGAAGACAGTGTAACAGCCATTTGAATTTTCATTGCAAAGACAAAGTTTAGACACTAAGGATCCTGCTATATGGTCTACAGTCTATTAATCATGCATCTGGAAGAAAACCACAACAGAATAATGACAGAATTGTATCTGGTCTGTTATGCCAAGTAATCAACAGCAGATAACTGGGAATAGGGTGTCAGGCATTAGAAAAAAATTCCACGCTAAGTTGCTGCCAGTACGGTTCTGCCTACTAGTTAATCCATACTCAGTTGCTGTAAGACAAAAGTTCATTATTAAATATTAAAAGCCAGCATCACCCTACGTTAAAAATTAACCAAAGGTAGGTTGAAGCTCTCCTCTTTGCCTTTTCTAATGCAAATTTAGTTATTCACTTGATCCACTCAATTTCTTTATGGGTTCGTTCTCTTTTTACTCATTCTTTTGTTACCAGTGAATTTTTCTTAGAGTTCTAAGTTTAAGCAACATAAATATATTGTTACTTAAATATTACACTACTATCATTTTTCAGCAAACAATTATTCCTCCCCCAGCTCTCTTTTCAGGGAAACTGATCCCCATGACTATATTCCTACAAATCCTAATCATGTAATGCTTTACCAGTTGGACCAACTGGACCAATATAGAGGTTCTAAATGATGGCAAGAGTTCTTTCTCTTTCTGTGGAGCCCACTGGTAGAACCTATTAAGGTTTTTTAAGGGAAACAAGAAAAGAATATTTAATGTATTAGTACTGTTTAATAGTGCAAAAGGAGAAGGGAAAACTAATTTATTTATTAAAAAATCAGTTTCCCACTATCAACTTTCAATCACAATATAACATCTGCATTTTTTTTAAAGCAAGTCAAGAAAACTGGAATTCTCGGGAGTAGCAATATATGCTTGGAAATTAAATTTTTTCCCACAGTATAGACCAAAGTGTGCCTTTTCAGATCAGAACACCAGTTTGGACTAAAAGATTTCCCTTAACAGCACAGCAACAGCTGAAAACATGGTAAATTCAAAAATAAATAAATTAATTTTTAAAAAATGACAGCTGAACAGAAAAAAAAAATTTCTGACAAGTGACCGTAAATTTCCTTACTTTAAAGGTGTTTTTGCAAGCTTATGCAATATATTTTGAAGGAAAAACAGAGAACTGGTAATAGACAAAGTATCTATCCATCACTAACGACGTTCATCTGAAATTCTCTCATGAGAATTTCTGCTTCAGTTCCACATGACTTCCATTTTGTCACTGGGAAGCATACAAAACATACAGCATTGAAATTCTCTGAAACTTATACTTTAAGTCCACTAGTAAAAAATAAAAAGTGCATAAATCCTACCAGTACTGCAAATACGAACTGATCAAAAGACAGTCTGAAAAGTGTCTTCCAGTCTAATACACCACTGCTGATACTGTGTGAATGGCCACCTACCTTCATATAGGCAAACTCCTTCATTGCTGCTAGCCGTGATAAATACAGCCATGACATTTTATGTCTGTGCTTGTGGTAGTCACGTTTATTTTTCAGACTGCGAAAGGAAGTTCTTCCAAGCCTATGCAATTTCAAAGCAAACTGTTGCTCCTCTTCATTTGCAACAATATAAATATCTAGAAGATATATAATGGCATCGATCTGAGAAAAAAATGATACCTAACAAGCTAGTACCTGATGAAAAAGTGCAGTGATAAGTTTCTTACTTCACCTCTCACAATTACTATTTCTGGCATGGCAAGTTCTACTACAGTTAGTAAAACCAGCTGAATTTACACGTTGTATACTAGAGATATGGAAAAGAAGAAGTTGTTGTTAAAGAGATCATGGCACTCCATCAGAAGAAACATTCATGTGATCTCAAACGTCTTTCAGAGTACGAGATCTTAATGTTCCTATACTCAGGTTAACATCTGCAGGCTATCTGCACAGCAAAGAACAAATACAAGCCATCCTTGAGAAAAATCTAGGGCAGATGCTGGTGTTCTTACTAGCACTCTGGAAGAGCCTTCTTCTTTCTATCGAGTGGAGAGACAACCCAAGGGACCAGCCTCTTAAACAGTGTCAATAGCCTATGCTTCATTACTACATTTTTCCCCAATAATGCCCTTCTCTTTCTTCAGTTGCTGTGTCAAATTACGACATGAAGGTAAGAGGAGCCAAGAAAACACTCCAATAGCTTCAAGCCTATTTTATTTTACCATCTTATTTTTAAGTAGGATGAAAAAGCTGAAATTACCTTTTTGCTAAAATAGTTAAAAACTCTTCACAAAGTGTGAGACAAACGGCATCTGCCTGCAACATACCCTTTTAAGCAATGCATGAAGAGTCAGACAAAACGGTCAAAGCAGAATGACATTCTTGTGAAGAAATATTCAAATGCAGCCAGAAGCCTCACATAGCATTTCAACAACTGACCCATAAATCTTCATGTTTGACAGATTAATTGATGTGACCATCCAGAGGAAAACTTACTAGCTTCTAGCAAAACATTTGCAACATTATGGCTGTGTTTGCTTAAAAAAAAAAAAAATTTAATTTTTTTTTTTTTTTTTTTTTTTACTTACCTGATTCTTTGCCAACACCCATCTGGTTTCCAACAGAATTTATGACTTGTCGGGAAGACAGAGTTTTCAAAGCAAGGTAATCATATCCTGCATTAGTTAACCGATAACCCTGGAAAGCTAGGTAACGATAAAACACAAAACACTTCATTCCTCATTATGTATACATTAAGTCTGAATCTAGTCTTGCTTCAGCATACAGTACACTACACCCAAGTAATATTCCACCCATTGGCTCAATTGACAGAATGGTACAGATACCCAAATTCCTGAAAGTTCCATTGGCCCAACTGACAGAATAGTGAAGATACCCAAATTCCCGAAAACTTTATGAAAAATAACAACTGGGCAAAAGATGGACATGCTGTTAGTCCCTCTCTAATAGAGGCAATGGCAGTATTTTATACAGCCTGGGAAAACTCAAAGAACATTTTGGAAGATCCACATATAGCAAAGACAACTGGGATCTGGGATTATTGTGATGATCTAGAGCAACCCTTAACACTCTGAAGACCTGGGACAAAAAGGATAGGAATTTCCTGTAGACTCCTACAGTATGTTTGCAAAGCCAGATGCAACTAAAAGGCTGAAAAAAATGGGGAAGGGCCTGCGCAACTACAATTTGTCGCACGACAGGGAATAAAAACTGCTTTAGTAGCTGTTTCTAGGGGGTGAAACGTAAAAGGCTTTAGCAGTCTGCTCTGGTTTGTCTACTGTAAGACTAGCCCATTGGGGTTGATTTCTGTATGCATTTTAATATTGCCTTAAGTGATGATTATTTTATTTTTCATTACTTTGGTGACTGAGCAAAAAAGAAAGTGAACTCTTTCAGTGTTCATCTCTTTTCTGCCTGTCATCTTTATCACATATTCATCACCAGCAGCTCAGCAGACAGGTAATTTGGTGCTGCGCAAATCCGTATTCCCAGGGCAGGTCCAGGAGGAGGCAAGGTTAGCAAGTGCTCTGGATGCTCATACATGCCAAGCTGTGTACTTCTGCAAGTATCACTGTGAGGCGCTGGGGACAGAATGACAGACGGAGCCCAACAGAAATTCAAACTCACTCTTGGTTCGTTCGTAAGCTAGAAGTTTGTGCTTCACCAGCTCTCTCAAGATTTTATTACAGCCACCATGTTTAAGGCTGGCAATGGAAGCAATTAAGCTAGCAGGAGCTATTTCATGGTTCTTCATTCCCATTTCCACCTAAAAGAATAAACAAAACCAGATGTGTTAGCCCCTATGTTCAATAATGAAATAACATCAGGCTAAAATCACTTTTCATGGATACATTACTGGGTTTTTTTATGACTTAACCAAACCTTTTAATACACAGCACTGCCCATTGATATCCTTTGTGTAATTCAGCCGTGAAACTTCTACAGTAGTGGCCAGAAGATGAACAGCTGATTAGATTTCAGTCTCAGGAGCGGAGGAAGGAGCTCTTCGACATTTCTGAAATGTGACTCTTTTCTCACACTTACACAGCCACCGCGCAATTTGCCTTTCCGCTAGGACTCCTGCTCTCCGTACAGTCAGGCGGCCCACCTGGGTAAGGCCCGTGCTTAACACGGAACTAGCCAAGGCCGCACGCCGCACACTGCCGAACCTTCGCTCGCTCCTTGTGAGACGGGGTGCCAAAGGCTGCCAGCACGTGTGGAGAGGCTGCTACCGGCGCCACCTCCGCAGCCCCCGCGACCGCCCGGCCGCTAACGATCCCCCCCGAGAGCGGCGAGCCCTGGGCCCTGCCCACCGGCAAACACCACCACCGAGCCCCATGGGAGCCGGCGAGCGCCGAAGCAGGGCCCA